TTAACGGCTTTCCACAATTTGTAATAATACAAGAATAGAATTGCACAATCTTAGTTAAGTATTCATATAAGATATTTTATTCACTTGTAATTTGTAGTTGTAGCATTCAAATGCCGAATTTTTTTTCTTAAGCTTACTAATAGAGCTTGTCTTCATGTCGTGTTAATTACGTAAGGAAGTGTAATATATATTCATAAAGCTTTTGTAATCACTTGGATCCTCTTAAAGCCCTTCCTCTATGAAATCATCTGTTAAATAAAGGCAATGATAGGATAGGGAAAAGGATTAGTAAACTTATTTCAGGAATTTCTCCACATCGTGTGGTATATTTGGCCCTTTTTTTCATTTAATAATTAATTTTGTTTAAACAAGAACTCGAGAAAAACAAATGATAAAATATATGGATGATTTTCTTTATTGAACTAAGACTCCATGGAGGGAGGCGCTCGCCGGTGGTAATTTTTGGCTTTGCCTCTGATTTTCTTCAATTTTTTTCGGTAAAAGCTCTCATAATTTTCACAATTTGTGAAATCTGTCCAGCCGATCATTTAAAAGCCGAAATTTTCTTAGGTACTTACAAGTTTTTGTTCCACCAAAGGAAACGCGATAAGTCTTGCTCGAAAGATCCCTATTTTCTTTGTCGCAAAACAGCACGTAATAGAATAGAACTTCGCCAAAATCTGTATCTGAGCATGCGTAAACTTTCGAATCTGTCGCGATCTGTCGCCTGTTGGTAATTTTTCCCACGGTGTTTTCTTTTCGGTTGACTTATTTTTCAGGCGTAGAAGGCCTATAAATATTCCGGGTGCAGTTGCTGGAAACCCAAGATTCCATTAAATAGAAACTGTTTTTAACACACGAATAAAGGGGGTAAGTTTCTAAAGAAACTGTGGTGCTGCGTCGGTGGGAGAGTAGAGCAGGTAATTTAGTGTTAACAACTGAGGTGAAAATGTAAATTGGCTACCGTAAAAGGTTGAAAGGCTGACCATTCGAGCGGTAGCCCTTCGTCAGGCCAATTTACGATTCAACTCAGTTGTTAACACTAAATTAACTGTTTTTATCACACCTTTTCAGATAACAATCGTGCGATCGTATCGAGCCGCCATGTCATGCATGTCGACACTTTTCAAGTTCGCGCTATGTTCGCACCCAGATCTCGGTCACAAAACCCTATAGAACCTCCTTGAACGAAAACGTCTGCCATCATCCTTTTGATATCTCTTTTTATAATGATTTTCTTTCTTTAATCTTTAGAGCACCTGCGAGGAAGATGATCCTTGCAAGGAGAATGAGATTTGTGTTGTTGACTACAAATCATACACTCATGTTTGTAAGTGTATTAGAGGTAAGTGGAGATCTGTTCGGGGAAAGACAAAAACAACTCTGGAAGAGAGACATACTGAAAATGCCGGGGACAGATAAAACGGCTAGAATAGTACCAGATAGGCAGGGGTACGAAAGATCAAGGATGTAACGTCCATTACAAAAACATCTAAAGAGAGAGAGAGAGAGAGGCAGAATAAATAATTTTTGTTATCGTTAAAGCGTTTTTATTTTTTTTCGTTGTTTCTAGATTGCCCGGCCAAGAACTGTCTAGATTATTATCAAACTGGTTCCAAAACTGACGGTGTGTACTGGGTTTACCCTGATGAAGAAGAACCCTTTCAAGTGCTGTGTGACATGACAACTGATGGCGGAGGATGGACCACCTTTCAAAGGCGCATGGATGGCTCTGTGGACTTTTATGTCGACTGGGAATCATACAAAAAAGGCTTTGGAAATCTGAAAGGCGAGTTTTGGCTCGGAAACGATTATCTTCACCGTCTGACTGCATATACCAGCATGGCGTTTCGAATTGATATGGAGGATTGCGAAGGCAACCGACGATTTGCCGAGTACACGACTTTTGCTGTGGCCAATGAAAGCGATAATTATCGGGTGACAATCGATGGATACCGAGGCACCGCAGGCGACTCATTGATTTCGCACACGATGCCTATCAGGTATGTCTCATAGTACCCTTTTGTACTTTGCTCTGAGAATGACTTGTAATACAAAGGTAATTTCAAAAAGTCTCTTGCCCGAGAATTTCGAAATACGTTGATGATTGTTGGAAGCTGAGGATCCCCTACTCTTAAGCTGATCAGCTTTTTTTTTTACATATGACAAATCTGAGCTGAACCGCATCATCGCCGATCAGATATTTTATCTTCCAGTTTATTGCTAACCAGGATTGCTCCTTTCAACAAGATGACATCAAATTCCTGTTTGCTGCACTATTAACTAAAACAAACAAGTGTACGTTGCTCACCGTTCCGTTTTCTCGAACTATCCTGATAGGGAAATCTTTTTATGAACACTGCTGACAATTAGTGCTCCTTACATATTTCCCACCATGCAGTGCAATCTGCACTTTATTGACTATGATATGCTGCCAGAAGCATTGCCTCCTCGCTTTTTCTCAGTTTCTTACGAAATGCATTTGATATCCTAGAAACATGGGTTTTACAACCAAAGACAAAGACAACGACGTTAAAAACAGCGGAAACTGTGCGTTAGACTATAAAGGTGGCTGGTGGTACAACTGCTGCCATTACGCCAATCCAAATGGTTTGTACAAGGGCGGAAGTGACGCACAAGGTATTACGTGGGGGTCATTTCGAGGACAAGAAAATTCTTTAAAGCACACCGAGATCAAAATTCGACCAGCATGATTTTCTTTGTGTGGTAGCGGCGTTTTTTAGCCGACAGCAAATTGTAGCTTCTAATTAAGAATTGAAGATATCTGTTAAGCTTAGAGATATAATCACTTTTAATTTGCGATGATTGTAATATACAAGTTCGGTAAATGCGGGATTTTGTTGGCAGATGGAGCGTTTAAGAGTAGTCTTTCAACGCTGTTAGTGGTGATAAACTTTTTATAATTTTGTTTTTGCAATAGTTTTATTGAAAGTTATATAGCTACGCATACGAAGCACTTTTTCTGTCTTTAATATATGTCGCTCCCTCAGTGAGAGAAAGGCACTTTTAATCCGTATTGTGAAAACATTACTTATTTCGTCAGTTGAGACTTTCATAGATACTGATGGTGGGCTTAATTCTAATTAAACGTTTTAATGTCTGAAAGATTGTCTGATGGAGAAGTTATTTCGTTACTGTTACTTTCGTTTCGTTTCGTTACCTTCTGGGAAATTACAGAACTGAACACAAAATAATTGCAAGGTGGGGGAGAGATTACTGAATACAGGAAAAAAACACTATTTCCACTAAAATAATCAGTTCTACCTCAACACCTTGCGTTTGAGTAAAAAATAAAATGACGGAGCCAGCGAATCGGTGAAGAAGTCATCAGTCTTCAAGTTTGATTGCAGACTAAAACCACAACCCCAGGATGAAAAAAGAATTCCGTCTTCATTATGCAGTCAGGATTTTTAAATGAATTTTATCATTTCTTTCGTCTACTATGGTTGCCGAAATGGAGCAAAATGTAATAAAATATATCTTTATTCGATAAAAATATTTTTATTCGATGAAATATATTTCTATTGACAAAACGTATTTTTATTTGAAAAAATATAATTTTATTCGTTGAAAAAAAAAATTTTCGTTAAAGAACCCTGGTTTATTCAATTTTCAAATTGAAATATTTATATGTGATAAAATCACATGGTAAGCTTAGTGATGACCAATTTGTTTTGCTGCTACCGCTGTTCATCGTTTCTGAGAGGAAATTCAATTCAGCAAAACAGATTATCTCATCATGGGTCAAAGGGTTTCATTTGAAGACAGTTTTTTCCATGTGTACAACTTTTTTACAAACCTCTTTTGGCAGAACATTTCTATAACGTGAGGCCCTTGCCAGTCGAAATATTTTGGGAAATGAACTATGTAATGTTGACTCGGCTCTGAATGATGTGGACGCATTGCGGCTGAATGTGGAGCTGTTGTATCGCAGTATGTCCCTTGCACGGTTCACTACCTGACCAACTTGCGAGCTCAGTCGTTGGCTCGTACTTTCGTACTTTGTGATTTTCCCGAAAAAAAGTATTGTTTTTTTTTATCAAATGAAGATTTTTTTATCGAATAAAAATATTTTTTATCGAATGAAAATTTAATAAACCCAGATTTTTTTTTGCGAACTATATTTTTCAACGAATGAAATTATATTTTGTCGAAGAAAAATGTATCTCATCGAATAAAAATATTCTTATTAAATCTTGCTCCATTTCGGCAACCCTGTGTATTGGACAATTCTTTCCGTCTCTTAGTTCCCTGGATATCCTTGGACTTAAGGAGTTTTTTTTAACCACTTTGTTGCGATTCAAATAACTTCTGTTGTGAAAGGTATAAAATGCAAATAAGGACTAAACTTATGAATGAAATGAAGACAGTTGGTGCCACATATCCTTTATTTATGCGTTTAATTATTATTAAAAGCTCCCACTTCATGACCAGAGGGGTAAACAGGATGAATATCATCGGTATAAAGATAACATTTAAAAATGAATTTAAGAAAAGTAAATAGTTAGAGAAAACAGAGTGAAAATCTAAATTATGTGCGAAGAAACACGGATACACATTCACAGATATTATATCAGTGGTAGTATCCACGAATCCTGTGTTCATTAAGCAAACTGCATGAGGCATACACACAAAAGAGAAATAAACAATCAAAAGCCAAAGTGCCTCAAGGAAATACAGGAAACACACAAAACCTTAACAAATTAAAACAAGCCTGAATTGTCAACGGGCTTAAAAGTTTTATGCAATTCGCAGTGCACGCTACCATTCCAAAACTTGGTCCCACAGCTTGGATCTACCTTCTTCGTTGACTTTCTGACGGTACAAAAAAAAGTTGACTTCAACTTTCTTCTAAGGTTGAACCCAAATCTCAATTTCTCAGTTTCCTTGCACCTGCTTACCTAGTTACCAAATCAGATAGAAATGAAACAAACATTCATTTTTCTTCATCATAGACTTACCGACGGTGAATACTACACATGCATCTCTGCGTAACATTTCTTCTTTGTGCCGTTGCGTACGGCATTGGCCGCATTTCAGAGCCAGATCTGAGAGCTGTTAACTTTGCCGGCAAGATAGAAGGAAAAAAGCTGAACGGAAGCCTGATAAGAGAAATAGAAGTGGATTCGGAAAGTTCCTGTCAGCTTGAGTGTGTAGATGAAGAGCGATGTCAGTCTTACAACTTTGGAACCATAGAGGGCAACTCAGGGAAATTCAGATGTGAGCTAAGCGACTCTGATCGATTTGTTGGATTAGCTAACTTTACCAAGGATGAACATTTCATTTACAGAGGAATAATGGTAAGCTAAATTTCTTTTAGTGTATCAACAATTACTCGTGGCTCAATGTTTGAATATTATTATTTAAAATCGAAGCTGGATCTCTTTATGCAATTCGCAATTCGCATTTATGCAATTTTCTAACTGTGATACATCAACCTTACTCTACCTAACATATGTCGCTGAAGTTTTTAAGAATCTAAGATTCTTGCGGCAACCTGGTGAGAAATTTTTCGATGTTTGCGTCAGGGAAAGAAGCCTGCTAGAGCCATGATAGACAGAAAAAGTTAGACTTTGATAAAAAGTACTAAAACCATTTCAAGGAAATAATTTTTGCAATGAAGAGCTAGGAATCGCGAGTTTGTACAATAGGAGAAACAAACCTTGCTTTATTTTTGACATAAATCCCGCTGATGAAGATTCCAGCGTTTTCCACTCGTACATCAATCGATTTATGGAAGTTTTGCCCCGTCACAAGTTCGCCACTTAAAGCAATACAAGTTTACCCCAAATCTTTCAGCGCGTAGTTTTAAAGTTAGCCAAGCTTTCTAATTCATAAAATTTTCTCCCGTCGTCAGCCCAAAAAACTTCTCAAATAAAAGAAGACCACAATACGCTAGCGACTTTTCATAATTTTTAATAATACAAAAAAAAAAACAATTGCACAATCTGAGTTCAGTATTTACTTAAGATATGTTATTCGCTTTTAATTTGATGTTGTAAAATTGAAATGCCGAATTATTTTTCTTGAACTTACTGATAGAGTTTGTCTTCTTGGATCCTCTTAAAGCCGTTGCTCGACGAAATCATAGTTACTTAAGGCAATGATAGGATAGGGAAAAGGATTAGTGAACTCTTTTCAGGAATTTATCCACATCGTGTGGTATTTTTCGCCCTTTTTTTCATTTAATAATTAATTTTGTTAAAACATGAGCTCGAGAAAAAAAAATCATGCGATACCAGGTCAGTGTGTTGCAGCAATGCAGGTAACGTCGAATGATAAATTTTGCAATAACACAAACCACCTGCATTTATATACAAAGCTGATTCCTCTGTTAAAATGATATAATGTACACCTTGCGAAGTACAGCATTCACATGGCGACTGATCAAAAATATTTAGATTAGAAAGCAAAAATAAAATTAGGAGGTAGAAACGTAAAATTTTTCCCTATAGCTACAGGTTTACAATACGACAAACTGATGCTGTCAGAATCTTTTTCTGCATTCATCATTTATCAGAAGCCATCTCGGAAGTATTTCATAGTTATCAGTTTCATTTTTATTTCCACTAAATACAAAAAATTAATTTTTCGCTTCATTTCAGAATTCTCTATAAATATGTCAGGGGTATTACGTCCCTAAAAAATACCTATATGTTATTCACCAGACGGGAGGTCCGTATTGGGAAAAACTGTGCCCGAGGTCCTGGATGCCGGCGGCGGTACAGAAGACAGAGTGCACATTTTTGCCCAATACGGACCGACCTTGGCTGGTGAATGACATTTTTGTTTTTTTCTAAAACCTAACAAATGGTTGCGAAAAGAACCTGAGTGAACCCGCCCGCTGTGAGCGTGCCGAATGGGGAGAATACTGCCCGCTCTCGGAACCAATCAGATTGCAGGATTTGTAGAATACCGCCCGCTCACGAACTGAGAAAAAAATAATTACACCCTACTCGACGGTTTAACATATAATACGCGCGGATGTTTTGCGAGTTGCGCAGTATTTTTTTCGAATCTCGAAAGGTCATTATTACCCACCATTATTTGAATTTTAAGAATTTTGATTTTGGTTTGCGAAATACATCCTATACGGCCTCAGCTGTGCATTTTATCGATCGCATAAGGAGTATTAAAAAAACAACCCGAACAAGACAACCAAAGTGGTACTTTGTGACCAAAAAAAAAAGTTGTCGCGCTTAAAAGTTCGTTTCTCTAAAAGTCAAGCCTAGGAAAACTAGCAAAAATATCAAAGTTTGGATCGTTCAGTACGGCCATTTTGTTGCTCCTTATTTTTTTTGCCCTGTTCCTCACTATTGTACCGTGGCAAATTTTGCGTGCGCTCTACACAGAAGTGGAAGAATAACCAGCGTTATTTTTAGCGTTTATACGTGTATTTTCTCAACTTCTAATCAAGTAATTATATTAAGAATAACCCACAAGTTTTCAACAAGCCAATCAAAAAAATGTTAGTTGGAGGGTTACATGAAGTTTTTTTAAGCTTGGAAGATAGATGTTTGTCATACAACTTCCTTCCCATCCATAGCAAGGCGGCCAACAGATGCCAGCTAAGTGGCTCAGACCGATTTGTGAGTCAGATGGATTTTACAAAAGAATGAACTCGAATGTCCTTGGTTCGTTTAAGTATCTTTTCGTTTTCTCTGAATTCATTTCAAACAGGATGCGGCAATTCTTATTATAGTCAGTATTCACATCTTACTTGTTGTCAATACTGACTAAAATAAGGAATTTAATGAGTGTACATTCTTTATAAACTAGGACCGTTTTATTTCATGATTAAATAAATAAGAACTCTTTGGATGATGCAGCAATTTTGATACTAATTACATTGCATTGTGAATTAGTAATTTCTGGGTCTTGAGGACAAACGCTGGGCTTGGAAAGCTTGGGAAGTTAAAATGATCACAAAACGATAAAATACTTGATACTCCAGCCTTTTGAAATATTTTTTTGTATCTACGGGGTTTTATCAACCTTAATAAACAACTAGGTCATATTAAAGAAGTTGTTTTACGTCTCAATTGAGTCAACTGATTCCAAAGAATACAATATCTTTCTAGAGTTATCGGTGCCGAGAAGCACCTGTTATGAAGACCGCAGAGGTTCTCGTCAGAGAAGGATCGAGAACTACTCACTAAGGTATCCTTTCGCGAAATGAATCTACCTTAAGATGAATCATAATCTAATACGAATTTCTTTTAAAGAGTTAAGGTTGATGGAATGTAGTTAGAAATAACACAGAAGAAGCCAACATAGATATAAATCTAGAAATAAAGCGGGATGATTTCGTTTTAGGACTATTCAAAACAAAAACTGTTTATGTTTTTATATTTTTAAATTTGATACGTGACCGACAATAGACAGTAAGCTTTTAGCTATTGAAGACTGAGGCTTCATAGGGTTTTTGCTCACCGTTAGCGCGCGCACCAGCATGTTGTTTTTCTGGAAAACTTTTATGTTTTCGCTTTTCTAGGTCACTAAAAGCCATTAAAAGGACGATGAGAAAGGTTCGGAATATCGTTCACTATAGTAAATATTATTAAAATGATTTTCGTTATTCAGCTAAGGCACCACGAAAGGAGGAGCTCATCAGAAATAGTTTGGCTTTGCCAGTGGTTTTCTTCAATTTGCTTCAGGGAAATCTCTCAAAGTTTTCACAATTTGTGAAATTTGTCCTGCCTAACATTTAAAAGCCGAAAAAAATAAAATAGGGGTAATAAAGACAGTGTCCTCGCTATTTGCAATTTTGTGTTTTCTTCCTCTACCTCAAATTTGGTCTTGTGAATTTTTTTTATCAACAGGCACTAGAATGGCACAAATATGTTTAACGGTCCAGCAAATCTTAGGAAATTACACCGGAGGAAACGCGATAAATCTTGCTCGAAATATCCCTATTTTCTTTGTCGTAAAACATCACGTAATGGAATAGAACCTCGCCAAGATCTGTATCTGAGATGCGTAAACATTCGAATCGGTCGCGATCTGTCGCCCCTTGGCAATCTTTCTCAAGGTGTCTTCTTTTCGGTTGACCTCTTCTTCCGGCGTAGAGCGCCTATAAATATTACGGTTACAGTTGCTGGAAACCCTAGATTCCATCACATAAAAACTTTTCAACTGTTTTTTAACACACTTTTTTAGATAACGATTGTGCGATCGTATCGAGCCGCCGTTTTTGTCAGGCATGTTGACACTTTTTAAAGCTCGCGCTATGTTCGCACCCAGCTCTCGCGCGGGTAAAAAATACCCTATCGAGCCTCCTTAAACGAAAAAGTCTATCATCATCCTTTTTATATCTCTTTGCACACTAATTCTCTTTATTTAATTTTAGAGCACCTGCGAGGAAGATGATCCTTGCAAGGAGAATGAAACTTGTGTTGTTGACTACAAATCAAACACTCATTTTTGTAAGTGTATTAGAGGTAAGTGTAAATCCGTTAGAGGAAATACAAAAACAACTCTAGGAGAGAAACATACTGGGACAGATGAAACGGGTAGATAAGCACCAGATGAGGCAAGGTTACGAAAGATCAAAGATACGACATCCACTACAAAAACATTTAGAGAGGGAGAGAGAGCGAGAATATGTAATTTTTTTTCTGTGATTGTCAAAGCGTTTTACGTTTGCGTTTTTTTTTTTTTAATTTCTAGATTGCCCTAAGAACTGTCTTGACTATTATCAAAATGGTTCCAAAACTGACGGTGTGTACTGGGTTTACCCTGATGAAGAAGAACCCTTTCAAGTGCCGTGCGACATGACGACTGATGGCGGAGGATGGACCATCTTTCAAAGGCGCATGGATGGCTCCGTGGACTTTTATGTCGACTGGGAATCATACAAAAGAGGCTTTGGAAATCTGGAGGGCGAGTTTTGGCTCGGGAACGATTATCTTCACCTTCTTACTGAATCTGCCAGCATGGTGTTTCGAATTGATATGGAGGATTATGAAGGCGACCGAAGATTTGCCGAGTACACGACTTTCGCTGTGGCCGACGAAAGCGATAATTATCGGGTGACAATCGATGGATACCGAGGCACCGCAGGCGATGCATTGCTATCTCTCGGTAGGCCTATCAGGCATGTTGCATTGCAGGTTTTTGTACTTTGCTCTGAGAATTACTAGTAATATAAGGGTAATTTCTGAAAAGCTTGTGCCCAAGAATTTGGAAATACGTTGATGATGGTTTGTAGTCGAGGATCCCTACACTTAACCTGATCAGCTTTTTCTACAAATGGCAAATCTAAGCTGAGGTATCGCATCCCGGATGCATCATAGCCGATCAAATATTTTAACTTCCAGTTGAATGCTAACCAGGATTGCTTCTCTCAACATTATTATGACATCAAATTCCTGTTAACACTATTAACCAAGAAAATATGTGTACTTGCTTACCATTCCATTCTCTCAAACTTTCCTGATAGGGGAATCTTTTCATGTGCACTGTTGACAATTAGTGCTGCTTGCATATTTTCTATCATGCAATGCCATCTGCACTTTACTTCTGTTATTCTGTTAGAAGCATTGCTGTGCGGCTCTTTCTCGGTTTCTTACGAAATGCTTTTGATATCCTAGAGACATGAGGTTTACAACCAAAGACAAAGATAACGACGTTAGTACTGGTGGAAACTGTGCGTCAAGCTTTAAAGGTGGCTGGTGGTACAGCTACTGCCATAATGCCAATCCAAATGGTTTGTACAAAGGCGGAGGTAACGCCCAAGGTATTACATGGCAGTCATTTCGAGGACAATTCTATTCTTTAAAGCACACCGAGATCAAAATTCGACCAGCATGGTTTCATTTGTGATAGTTGCGTCTTTAAGCTAACAGAAAACTGTAGCTTCTAATTAAGAATTAAAGATATCTGTTTTGCGTACTGTTATAATTCTTAATTAAATTTGTGATGATTGTAATATACAAGTTCGGTTGATGCGAGATTTTGTCGGCAGATGGCGTGTGTAACTGTCGTCTTTCAACGCTCTTAGTAGTGATAAACTTTCTTGAATTTTTTGTGTGCAATAGTTTTATTAATGTAACAACGTATAAAAAGCACGTTTTTTGTCTTTGAATATATATCGCTCCCTCAGTGAGAGAAAGGGACTTTTAATTCATATTGTGAAAACGGTACTCATTTCATCGCTTGAGACTTTCATAGACATTGACGATGGGCTTAATTTTGATTAAACGTTTTGATATCTCAAAGATTGTCTAATGAGGAAGTTATTTAGTTATGATTTACCGAGGCTGGCTTGCAGACACACTTAAAATAAACATCAACGGAGCCTTGCAAAATATCTCCCGTCAACTCGATGAAAAGAGACCTGCTGCAATTAGCTCCCGTTTCATCTTTTCACACATAACTCAATTGAAAACCTGTCATCTTTCTTTTCTTTACTGCGTCATAAAGACGCGTAAATCTTAACTCTGTTCCAAATCGAGATAGGAGGATTCCTACTGCTGTTTTTTTTTATTTTAATATTTGCGTCCCTGTTTATTAAAGATTGCTTAATGTTTTTCTAACGTAAAATGGCTGTTAATACTCTCCCCAAGCGTTAGGTTTTGTCCGAGATGATTTTCACTGGATTCTTTGTTATGTCTGAGTTGAGAGTAAATTTGAATGTCGCTATTGGTGCAATGGTCGATAATCACACGGCTGTGGTGGATGGAGAAATAATCTGTAGGGTAAGTGAAGATAGCACTTTCGAGAAAACTCGTTCATGTCACACTTAAATCAAATTGTGCCAGATAAAAATCCTTATGGTAAAAACACCAAGAGAAGCTCATAATATTGGAAAACTCGGGGTCAAGTTTTTTTTCGTTATCGTTGCTTACGATAATGAAACCCATTTAAACCTAACATTTAGATAATTATCTCATCACTTTTCCATCCACCTTATTTTTCATTTCATTGTTGCAGGGGATCACCGCTTGCAGCCGACCATGACTAATTTTAGCGCTATTGGTTTGTCTCTATTCTATGATTCCATCCTTCCGTAGGCGACCACTTCACGTGGGCCGACCTCAGTACAGGTGCCCTTCGCGTAACAGGACGTTTTAAAAGCCACAAATTTTGGTCGATATACTTCGTGTTTGCTCTTTGACAGTCACATAACAAGAGACGCTTGTATAGCAAGATATTTTACTTTTAAGATTGCGATGCAATGAAGTTATTCTTTTGGTTAAAAACATGTTTTTCATGACTAACTAACAGGTTTAACATTGTATTTCTAAAGATATCAAATTCCTAAACGTTTACTAACAACCAAACAAAAAAAATTCTATAAATTGGCAGTAATATTTTATCAAAAAACTATCCTCAGCGAAAATTGTGTGAAAATTGTTACTCCATATTTCGATTCAGAATTGTCTGCTGAACTGTTCTACAGGAATTAATACTTTACTAACCGTAGGATTCGCTCCTTATTCAGAATAACAGGTTGTGTAGTAAAGGAGTCGAGTCTTTAGGATTGTAATGTTCTTTTTGTCGGTTAGATTATGCCGTAACACAAGATAACTTCATTTGTTTTCCTTACGTGTAATTCTAAGAGCATTTTATTACGGTTACATGATATGGTGTCAAAACTTGAATTTATCCCGCCTGGCACGCATAAGTTTATGCACCATAATCGATCAGGACGCAAAGGAGGCGGAACATCTCTGCTCTTCAGAGATAACATTAGAGCTAAGAAAATTTATGCGTGTGAGAGAAAACCTCGTTTGAATTGTCGGAATGGAGCCCAAGTTTGAATTCCTTCTGGGTTAGGCTGTCTTTTATTTATCGCCCACCGTATTCTGCTCAGCATCCAGTAACTCTGAATACTTTTATGGACGAGTTTGCTACTTATCTGGAATCCATCATATTAGTGCCTGAGCCGTGACAGAGGACTTGAACATCCATGTAAATGATGCAAATGATCCCAACGCTTGCAAGTTTTTGGACTTGCTTGTATCTATGGGTTTAAAGCAGCATGTGAAGGGTTCTACACATGAGGGCGGCCACACCCTGGATTTGATCATCACCAGGGAACATGATGACAACATCAAGAGTGCGCCAGTCATTAACCAGTTCATATCTGACCATGCTGCAGTTTTTTGTCCCTTGAACTCTCTAAAACCGCTAGCTGTTGTGAAGGAGATCAATTACAGACAGCTGAAGGCTATTGACCTGGATGCATTGCGTGCGGATCTCAGGGATTCAGATCTGTGAACCACGGAATTCACAGATGTGGATGAAATGGTCAACTGCTACAACTCCACTCTCCAGGCCATTCTTGACAAACACGCACCTCCGAAAACTAAGGCTGTCGTCAACAGGAAGTGAGTTCCCTGGTTTAACAGTCAGATCCAGGTTTAACAGTCAGATGAAGGCTGCCATACGGACTAGACGAAAGGCTGAGAGGATCTGGCGCAAGTCTAAATCTGCGCATGACCTTCGTGTTTTTTAAGGCGAAGAAAAACCATGCAACATTCATCATGAATCAAGCCCGTTGTGAATATTACACTCCCCAAAAAAACAGCTCTAACCAGAGGAAGCTATTCCAAACTACTTAGGCCTTGTTGTGTAATGCTAAAGATGTTTCTTTCCCTCCGGGCAACCCTGACCAGCTTGCCAATGACTTTGGCAACTTCTTTGGGCAGAAGATTGAGAAGATAAATTGGTCTCAAGCTGACCGGTCCGCGCAGTCTCAATCGCTTCCTCGCGCAGATGAGCATAGTGTATACGTTTATGGACGGCTTACCAGCTTCAAGTCCCTGACGCAAGACCAAGTGCGCACGTTCATTGAAAAGGGGGCTAAAAAATCATGTCAGCTTGACCCGGTCCCAACATCGGTTGTTACTCAGTTGCTGGACATTTGCTGCCAGTTATAAACAAGTTAGTCAATCTTTCTTTTGAGTCTGGCCGTTTTGCTGAGTCCTGGAAAGAGGCGCTTGTCTTGCCTTCTCTTAAGAAGCCTAACTTGGACATTGCCTATAAGAATTTCCGTCCAGTGAGCAATCACGCCTTCATATCTAAGCTCTCAGAAAGGGCGTGTGTTGATCAGTTCACAAAGCATCTGACAGTCACCGAGCGCCATTCCCTACTGCAATCTGCATATAAGCCTCTACACAGCACGAAAACAGTTTTACTAAAAGTAAAGAATGACATCCTAATGTTAATGAATCAGCAACATGTCACCCTGCTTGTTTTACTGGATTTAAGTGCAGCTTTTGACACGATACACTGTAATATACTGATTCAGTGTCTCGAGTCTGATTGTGGAGTAACTGGCAATGCACTTTCTTAGTTCAGGTCGTATTTATCTGACCGGTTCCAGCGAGTGTTTATCAATGGTGGACTTTCCAAGAAGTTCCCCCTGTTTCAAGGCGTCCCTCAAGGGATCGTGTTTAGGCCCGCCGCTCTTCGCCATATATACGCGTAGGCTATTTGATATCGTGAAGCATCACCTTCCCCAAGTCCACTGTTATGCTCATGATACGCAGCTGTACGTTTCCTTCAGCCCAAACTAATCTGCGGAAGCGGACGCTGCTATAAAGTCTATGACTGACTGCATCAGTGATGTCAGGAGCTGGATGATATCGAACAATCTAATACTAAATGAAGACAAAGCAGAGTTTCTTATATTGAGCACAAAGCAACAGCTAGCCAAAGTTAATAATGACAATATTAAGGTGGGCTCTGCTAATGTGAGTCCTGTTCCGGTAGTTAGGAAACTTGGATCATGGTTCGATTCACAGCTCACTATGTCTAGCCATATCAGTAAGCTTCGTTTTGTAGCATTTTACCACCTGTATAATATTCGACGCATACGCAAGTATTTATCTCAAGAAGTTACGGAGACGTTAGTCTATGCTTTCATAACGTCCCGCATCGACTATTGCAATAGCCTATTGTATGAACTGCCAAACAGCCAGCTTGCGCAAATTCAGAGTTCTGAATGCTTCCGCTAAGCTGGTATGTAATGCGCCTAGGTTTTGTCACATTACATCAATAATGCGCGATTTGCACTGGTTGCCTATCAAGGCACGCATCAACTTCAAGGTACTTCACCTCACGTTTAAGGCGTTACATGGCCTTGCGCCTCAGTATCCACGATCCTTAATTAGTATGAAGACATCATGCTATAATCTAAGGGGTTCTAACACTCTACTCCTAGCTATGCCATCAGTGAAATCTAGCATTTTCTTTTTTGTATACTTTAGTTTCTTCGATTCTCTTTTATATAATATATACTTTAGGAATGCGTATCTAATCATAGTCATGTAAAGATGCGCACTAGAAATGAATAAATTATTCTTATTATAGTTATTATGGTGTTCCAAATCTCAGGGGGATGGTTAGCATTCCGAGTGGATAGATCGCGACGATTCTACTGCATTGTGCTTATACTGTTCACAGGATTAAGTCAACTTATAACCATGGCGTGGTGAAGGATGAGGAATATTAAAATTTTCTTGAAAGAAAAAAAATTGATTAAAAAAATTAAAATTGTTCTAAAATAAATCAATGATTATAGAGTGAAAGAACACGCAGTTAATTTTTTTTTTCAGGCTAGGATTGTGGCAGATTTGAGACTTGGTGTTTATTACCAGAAATGCCACAATCCCGACTGTAGAAGGATTGGCTATCGTTCCCCTGGTATGTGAGTATTAGCTGCCCGAAAAAACATCACTTGGTAGGATTTCTTTGGGTGAAGGCTAAAAATAAAGGAAGCAGCAAAACGAATCGCGGAGACTTCTCGCTCAGATTCCAATCGTAGTTCAAAGTATGGCACTTTTTTTTGCCAGAAACTGGAGAGCTAACCTTCAGCAACACTGTTCTGGAACTGAACCAGGGCAGATAAATCTTTATATATGTGTAATGTTTCTTCAAATCTGTACTAGCACTGTTCCAGCTTTGTGAAATTTTATGGATCCTTTAATA